GAAAATCAAATTGTTTAGCACTTTGAAAAATTGTACAAGATATAACATCTCTGTGTCTCTACCAAAAACATCTACAAACCAGTAATTATGTGTCTGCATTTACCACAGTCTCACATCTTCCAGTGCCACATTCAATAACTTGTGAATCAACTGTGGAGGCACCTGGGGGGCCAGTCAGATTCCAGGAGTGACATGTGGCMCCCTGGTCACACCTCTGGCTCTGCCCCTAGTGTGCAGTTTAGACTAATTCAGCAGAAAGTAACAGAGTTTTTAAGATACTGTATTTCTGAGCAACTGAGAAAACTGACCTGAGAGTTTCCAGTTTACAGTTTGGACACTGCAGTGCATCAGACAGAGGCTTCACTCCTGAATCATGGATTCTCAGGTCCAGTTCTCTCAGACTGGAGGACTGGGATCTGAGAACTGAGGACAGAGCTCCACATGTTKCATTGTAGAGGGTACAGTCACTCAGTCTGAAGAGGAAATAAGACAAGAAAGAATCTGTAACTTTCTCTGCAGTAAAACCAACAGTAACATCTTCACTATTGTTTTCCTGTTTCTCTTTATTATTCAACTTATTCCATCTTCTTCCTCGTCGCCACGCTACTCCTCCTACATACTTTGTCCTGTAGCTGCCATGGTCATTTCTATCTGTAAAGGTCCTGTGCCAAATGATTACTGTGCCATCTGGTGTCTGTATAACTTGTATTTTTTGAAATATTAATGTTTCAACTTTATTCCAAAGTTCAAATAATGAGAGTCAATGGGGCCTTGTAATGGTCCAATACTGCCCCATGCTGGACTTAACTTGGTACTGCTCCATTCTTTGATAATATTTAATCTCAATTGTTCAGTGTTTACAATAATAATATGATTATATTTTGATGTTTTACTATAATATTTTCTTAATACTGTTCTAGTGTTTTAACATATTGCACTCAATTGTCAATAATTGCATTGGCAAGATAAACTTTTTCTGTATAAATACAATCCAATCCCTGGGATTGTCATCTGCCACATCTCCAATAGTCTCAAAATGAGCACTGTGGGTTTTCATGTGGGAGATCAGGGTTCAAATCCAGCTATTGCTACTTTAACAAAAATCTCTGCAAACTTCATGTTGTCACACAGTTACCTTAATTACAAACACCTGCTGATGTGACAGGCACAAGCTGGTATAGAAAACACATTTGAACTTGGTCAAAGTTCATTCTGAAAGTCCAACGCTCCTGCATACATTGTCCTACTGCTGCCATTGTAATTTCTATCTGTAAAGGTCCTGTGCCAAATGATTGCTTTGCCTTTTGCAGCCTGTACCACTTGTAGTTTTTGAAATATTAATGTTGAAACTTTATTCCAAATTCATAAAATGTGAGTCAACTGGGCCCTATAATGGGCCAATACTGCACCCAGCTGTTCCCATCTAGGTACTGCACCACAGTTTTTAATATTTAATATCAACAGTTCAGTGTTTACAATACTAATATGATTGTATTTTGATGTTTTACTATAATATTGTGTTAATACTGCTCTACTTTTGTAAATTATGCAGTTTAGTGTCAATAATTGTATTGGCAATGTGGTCTCTTTCTGCACACATACAAACCAACCCCTGCCACCACCTTCTGCCACAACTCCATTGGCCTAATAGTCTATGTCATGGACTTTCATGTGGGAGATCAGGATTCAAAAACCTGGCTAATGCAACTTTAAGAAACAATCTCTTCAAACTTCAAATTGTCACAAAATTACCTTAATTCTAAAGACCTGCTGACGTGACAGGTACAAGCTGGTATTGAAAACACATTTGAACTTGGTCAAAGTTCATTCTGCAAGTCCAATGCTGCAGGCAAAGCCATGCTTCAATGACATGCTATGTGGCAATGCACACTTGTTTTCACATCGTAAAAACCCATGACTTGTCAGTGTGCATTTTATTGTGATTCGTTTCCCATCCAAGTCATCTCACCTTTGCCATGCTTTGCCTCCTGCATAGTTTGTCCTAGAGCTGCCATTGTAATTTATATCTGTAAAGCCCCTGTGCCAAATGATGGCTATGCCTTTTGGTGCCTGTAAAACTTATAGTTTTTGAAATATTAATGTTTAATAAATTATAATGGGAGTCATTGGGGCCTTGTAATGGTTCAATGCTGCCCCCTGCTGTACTCAACTTGGTACTGCACCATAGTTTTTATATTTAATCTCAAT